AGCTCAGCCCCCCTTTCCCCGAGCGCTGTCAAAGCTGTCAAGAGGGATTAGACTCAGGGAGCTGGACTGTGTCTCATGGGCTGGATGGAACAGCTGCTGCTTGAGGAAGGACAGCGGAGGGGGTGCAACGTGGGATCTGGGCAGTGCAGCGTGAGGCTCGGGGGTCAGCAGCCACACTGGGACGTCCTGCCCCATTAAGAGAGGCAGGGCAGGCTACACTCCTCAGGGGCCCAGCTCTGAGTCGGGGAAAGCGGTTGGGCTCTTGCGGGCCCACAATCACAGCATGGGCTGGAAGCAGTAAAAGATGCAGGACCCAAGATAGCCAGCAGAGGGCAGTGCCTCTGTCCCTGGCTCTTGGAAGGAAGGGGTGGGCTAGTGTGCTAGTGCAGGAGATGCAGTTAGCAGATGGGACCAGCGAGTTGTAGGGTCTAGTGGTGGAGGGGAGGGTGCGGTTGAGAACCAGAACCCCAGTTTTATCCCCATCTCTGCTGCGTGGCCCTGAGTGCACCTTGTCCCCTTCCTGAGCCTCCATTTCCCGCTCTGCCATGGTGACTTGCCCTGACCTGCAGAAACCACGCCCAGCCCCCTGGGATCAAACCCCTCCTCCCCAGCAGCTCCCTTATTTCATGTGCTGCTCAGACCCTCAGGCAGCCTCTCCTCAGCTATGCGGGCACCTGGCACTGTGCGCTGGGCACGTGAAGGGCTCCTGATACCATGGCCAAGGGGCAAAGTCTTCATCAGGGCTAATTATCCTGCTGCGAGCTCATCTCCCCGCTCGGTGTCATCTCTCAGGGGCAGGGACATGGGTACTGGTGCCCTCCTTTCTGCACCCACAGGCCCGCTCCTCTGCTTGCTGGGCACTGCCATGGCTCAAGGGATGCTGTGCTAGTTTTTTAAGGCACCAATGATGTTGTTTGCAGATGCTGCCCAGAAAGGGGCCTCTGCTGCTGCCTTCCCCACTGCCTGATTGCCAGGGCTCCTGGGTTCTACCCCAGCTCTGGCCCTGACTCGTTATGTTCCTGGCAGCCTTTAGGGCAGCCTTCTGCAGGGTGAGATGGAAAAACCATGGACTCAGAAGAAACACAAGGCAAAAACTGAAGAGCTGGGAAGTCACATCCACAGAGCAGAGCTGATTCTCTCCAGCAGAGGGCAGCAGGACAGCTAAGAACACCTGCTGCAGGATGAGCAGTGGCCAGTCAGTGGCAGCACTAGACATAGAACCCAGGAGCAAACTCACAGGCCCTCTGCTCGAGATCCCATTTCCCTCCTAGGGCAGGGGACAGAACCCCCAGACCTGGATTTTCAGCCCCTGCTTCCCACTCCCTTTCCTGAGCCAGGGCTAGCCCCTTTCCGTTAGCTCCCCCAGAGTGCTGAGGAAATGTCCACTCAGCCCTGGCACTCAGAGCTCTTCCCTGGTGGGTACTGATGCCCAGCCCTCCTCCCGCAACTCAGGAGTGCTCTCCCCTCCCAGAGCTGGGATGGAAGGGAACCCAGGCATCCTAGCTCCCAGCCTCCCAGTCTCTTCTAGTTCTAGTCCCCCCTCCCAGAGTTGGGACGAGAACTTGGGACTCCTAATGCTGAATCACTACTGCTCCATCCATGCCTGTGAGTCTGAGCAATTGCAGCTCTGCTCAGAATGGGGCAGTGGGGTGTTTCCCTCCCCCCACCGTATCATCTAATTTAATCCTAAAACTCCTAAACAGAAGCCCCTCTTCATTGCCCCCACCCTCCATTAAACCTCCTTCACACCCAGGCCTCTTGCTCCTATTTGCCTAAGTGAACATCCTGTTCAGCATCTGGCAGGAGGGGAAAGACTCAGAGCCCCAGTTGGCACAGGCCAGTGCTCACTGTGGAGGTGCTGGCAGAGAGCACCTTCCCCTGCACAGCCCTGCTGATGCCCCACACTCCTACTCTGGGCTCCCCCCACCAGCTCTGCTACTGCCCTTCACTTCTGACCCTTAGCCCCCTGACTCCGAGCCCCGAGGTCTGCGGGGGCAGTGGTAAAGTCTGTCCATAGCACAGCACTGCTGGGCATTTGGGTCCCCAGGGCACGACAGTGATCCCTGGTTTGTGAAGCTGCAGCTCAAAAACTGTGGTCTTAGCCATGTGAATTGTGACAGGAGTCAGGAAGCTACAAACTTTGTGGGGAAATCCCAGCTCTGGATTGAGGCAGCTGCAAACAGCTGGGCATTACAGGGTATTGGGAGGGGCAGTACGGTCTAGTGATTACAGTGAAGCACAGCTAGGAATCAGGAGTCCATTGGCAGCTCCTAGAGAGGAGTGGGGTCTAGTAGTTAGTATAGGAGGGGTTGGGAGCCTGGACTCCTGGGTGCTATTTGGGGACTGGCAGTGTGACTCTGTTTCCTGTTGTGCCTGCTCTAACCCTTAGATCCCACTTCTTACCTACAGCTGGGTCCAGGCACCAGCCCTTTCTTCCCCCCTCCTGGCAAAAAGGAACCATGCACCATCATCTCTACTCCCAAGCCCAGCTAACAACCCCCCACTCTGATATATGCACCAGCCTCCACTCTCCTATGGGGTCAGGCACCAGCCTGCTCACCCCCATCTGCCCCATCCCACCAGCGCCCAGTCCCCTTTTCCCCACCTGCTGAGTCGTCTCCCCCCCATCCTGCTGGGAAAAGAAAATGCCCATCCCCCAGCCTCGCCCCTTCCCCCCACCTGCTGAGTCGTCTCCCCCCCATCCTGCTGGGAAAAGAAAATGCCCATCCCCCAGCCTCG